CTTCGGTCGCCAGCTCAGCCAGGCGGTAATGCACGGCCTGGTTGTGCAGGACAGACTGGTCAAACACTTTCCGCTGGCGAGTGTAGTCAATAGTTTCTTGTATGATAATTTCCAGCGGTGTCAGGACTTGAAGAAACAAAGCACAGAACAAGACATCATTTTAGCCAGATCTGTTGTTTTTCTTCTTATTGAAAAAGATGGGGGGTTTTCACATTGTACAATCAATACATTAGGTTTTCTGAAGTAAATTATTGCATACGCTCAGTTTGGGGCGCAGTTTCAATTCTGAAAAAAAGTCTGGTGTTTCCTTGTACCTTGAAGACCTCTTTATCCCTCTTTCTGCCCCAAACTGCCAAAACTCAGAGGAGAGTGAAGGAGGGTGGGGGAGGAGGGACGGAAAGTCACAGGGAGCAGTATGTAATGACGAGTATGTAAACTTTATCCTTAATGCCTCATTTGGGGCCCTAGCAAAAGCTTGTGGCAACTCCTGCTTTCCATGCTACCTGTGTCCTGAAGGTCTGCTACAATCCCGAAAGAAAATCTGAAGGCAGACAGTGTGCTCACTGAGGAATGGTGTAGAAATGTAAACTCAAGGCAGCTTTCAGGGAGAAGGCAGAAACCTATTCGGAGATCAAGGAACAGGAACAGACTGCTTACTACGTCGGCATTCTGTGATCAGATCCCGGTATAGAAAGGATGGGAAAAACATTAAGATTCACAGCCACTTTTAGTAAATGCTAAGCAGCGCTTCTAATGGAATCAAAACAGGATACTGCTGGAAGACAGATGAGAGGGATGGCAGACACTGCTTTAAAGCAAAAGAACTAGTTCGCTGCTGCTTTTTGAGCAAACTTAAGAAATACTCTGTTTTAAACAAGAAGAAAAGGGAAAAGTTTCTTTCCCCAGGCAAACCAGCCTTGAAGTGAAGGGCTAGGCTGTCAGCCTCTTGAGCTTAGCTAGGATAACAGCAGGTGCTGAATTTGTGGAGAATTTTGTTTGGCAAATGTGGCCCCATGTCATTATGGCAAGCAGTCATACCATCCGTATGAGAAGGGTCACATTTTCTCTTTTCAAGATACGCATATCCACTTCCATTCACATTGCAAATCTAAACCGCAAAACTCTTGAATCTGAAATGCAAAATACAACCAAGCCCTGGACTACTACAAAATCCCTTTTCCCACCTGCTGGTTACTCACATGACAGTGCCTCACCAGAGCCTGGTGTGCTTCCAATATTCCTTTTTGCATGGCATTCAAGATGACCTCTATTTAAACTTCACCCCTATACTGCCCTCATATGCAGACAGTGCATCCCCCCGATTGCCCCCTGCCATGAACATTGGCCAGCTCTTCCACAGAGCGCTGGTTTTTCACATGCTGTCCCCACATTCCATATGGCGATCAGCTTTTCTCATTCCTTAAGTATTTCCCCCTCCTTTCTCAAACAACTAGCTTCAATGCCTATTTTTCAAAAGAGCGTATACAATAATATCCTCATTTCTTCTGTGTTAATACACTGCTGCCACCCTAATGCTGGTTTCCTGGACAGGAAAATAAATTGCTATATTCAGGGACATCTCTTGTACAGAGGAACATCCCTGTTCTTCCAAAGGACCATATAACATGACACTGTAGCACGTATAGCACTAACAGCTTTTTCACTTAGAATCACAGAATCGTGGAATCATAGAATGTTTTGGGTTGGAAGGGACCCCTAGAGGTCAGCTAGTCCAACCCCCCTGCAGGGAGCAGGGACATCTTCAACTGAATCAGGTTGCTCAGAGCCCCGTCCAACCTGGCCTTGAATGTTTCCAGGGATGGGGCCTCCACTACCTCTCTGGGTAACCCGTGCCAGTGTTTCAC